AACAAACTACATACAAAGTGTTAATATTTTATTCACGCAAATATCATAAGTTTTCGATGTAATATAACCTCTCTGTATCTCGTGTTATTTAACAATTTAGCTATGGTCTTCAGTATCTTATTTTTCACACATTAATCCACACTTGATTTCTAGGTAAGAAAAAGGTTGTTGTACTAACAAAGGTGATATCACGTAAAAAAAACTTTAATTTTCTCTTCACCTTTATATCACAACGGCTAAAGTTTAGTTTTCGACTAAATGTCTTTAATAATTTTACCCAAGAAAACTCTGTAAACATCCGGTAGTACGGAGAAGTTCCAGAGTTGTAATTTATTTTTATTTCGCTGCTAAGCAGCCCCCATCTTGCCTTAGTATAAATAATATTTATGAAAGCAAGTTTTTGTTGAAACTCAAGCTAAAAGGTTATATAAATAAGTTATTACTATCAGGGCTATGTAAAACATAAAGAGGCGGCAGTTTTGTATAATATAAACTAAAGGAATGTAAAATATGTCGCAATTAGATAAACATTGTTCTTGTATTGCTTTACGGCCAGAGGTTATAAATAAAATCTAACTCACCGTGTTTAATCATCAACTACTAAGTACAATAAGATACTAAATGCCACGTTATTGTATTTCAGACACAATTTAATAACTTGATTTTCATCTTTAAACAATATTTAAATTCTATACGACCACATCTTTTGTATTCATAGTCGTATCGCTTATCTATATTTTCGCAATAACCTTCTAAAATAATTCAATAATAAGATAAAATGAAATTGGAATTTCGTCGACGATGGCACAGTCGATAGCTTTTCTATTAAGATAATATTTGTACGTATCTTCTACGTCATAGTTCGGTAGCGCTGCGTCACTATGGATAAATGATAAAATTAGGATGCGAGATGGCCGCTAGGAGGGCGAGTCAGTTTGGCGCCTCGCCAACGCAGCCGCGCTCCCCACCTTATCAAAATAAATGTTTTATTTGAACAAAACTAGCTTGATAATAAATTCCAGATATAGATTTTGTTATAGATTTTATTGAATGTGTATAAAAGATTCTTTGGGATAAAAATTTGGCTTGGCAAGAAACAAGACTTAACCGGGCTTGTGGGAATAGAGTGCAAAAGTCGTTGCAGTGGTCTATTCGAGGCTAGAGCCGGGTTCAGATGCTTATTTTTTAAAATTGTGTCCCAGAGGTGTTGCAATGTTTGGTCATTATTATACATACAGCTTAGCTAAAATTGTTTTAGTGACATTTGTTGCTAGTAGTGATGTCTTGCAATCATAAACCGATTCTCGATTCATCTCAGTTAAGGTTTTGTAAAATTTTATTTTTATTTCAATTAAAGTCTCTGGTTCTTTAAAGTCTCACTAACATTTTACAGCTCCTCATTAACGTTTTTAATTACTTTCTAATTTAGGTCTCGCTCTTATGAAACGTACACAATAAGCTAAACAGTTCTCATCAAATGAAGCTTTTCCCAAGAACACTGATGGCCATTGCCCAGGTCAGGGACAGGTCTGTCTGTTGCACTGTTGCCTTTGAACTTTGACTCAAACTCATAAATGCATCATTATTTTTATATTTCAATTTAAACATTATTCTCTAAAACATGAAGCCTGAAGTTCTGAAGTCTGTAGACTGGAGACGTAATGGTCTTTCTAATTAGTGTTTCGAGTCGGATTTTTCTCTAAAGATTTTTTTATGTTATTGTCCCTACACATCGCATCTAATTACGCAAAGAGAATAACGAAATACTAGGACTACTTTATCATTTTAAATTTTTGATGTCTTTGTATTTACCGGTCGTGCCGCCCTATTAAATGCTCTCATCAGAGGGTGTTAAGGTTTTTCTTAATACTAGCTGTCGCCCGCGACTTCGTCCGCGCAGGATAAAAAATAGATGTTGGCCGATTCTCAGACCTACTCAATACGCTCACAAAATTTCATGAGAAACGGTCAAGTCGTTTCGGATGAGTATTGGAACGAAAATTGTGACACGAGAATTTTATATATATTATAAGATAAAGGTAATCCTAATAAATATAATATAATAAACATAAAAACCAATTGTATATTCTGAATGATAATATAATATTTTAATTAAGTACTGTTTTATACCGATGAAGGTAGGTGTCAGCTCGTTTGGTTTAACAGATACTCGTACAATGCGTTGTCTAACCGCAGTGCGGACGATCGCTAAAGTATATCTTTGTAGCTTGTCGTCATTGTAACCGATCAATCAACTGCAATATGACAATATTGAATAATTTAAAGATGTAATATCTCTCTAATTTTGGTGGACATCTACACGTTCTTGGTCCGTATTCTTTTTTGCCCATATTCCTTATACGTAATAACAATAGTGAGTTCCTTATTTATTATCATTGATATTAATATATTTTATATATATATATATAAAAATAAATTCCTGTTTGTCGTAAATTTGAGACTGCAATAAAATAGGAAAATGGGACGATATATTCGATCGAGACTTTATCGCTTATTGACGGTCGGGACGTAAACTTTAAGCATCGACGATTTGAAATAAATAAAATATGTCAACAATTTTAATCCCCTCGATTAATTTTATAGCGGTTAGTATTGAATTAATATGTACATATAGAAGTTAGAGATCAATCCTTTATTCACATTTATGTAATTTCTGAATACATTTTTACATTAAAACTCTACCAACAGTCTTCGTCTAGTCTGTTTTACAATAAATACTTACATATTTGACACTCGTGCAAACAGAATCTACTCAGAAATATTCATAAACTTAAAACCTAACTACGTCCTAAATGAAACACGAACGTTTCTTTAGGAGGATAAAGTTTCTTTACTCTTAGACAGCAGAGTAATAAATGTGCTTCTTGTGTAAGGTAGATGCGATGTCATGAGCCGGCGTAATCCATTGTGGCCGCAATCGGGCCCCAAGTCGACGTCCTCGTAAATCGGGCGAGCGCAGGTGTTACGACTTCCTTCGCTAAATTGCTCGCCTACCGCTATACTATTTAGTGGCGAATTATTCAAACCACTTTTTATCACATTGCTTAGCTAAAGATTAAGTATTTTTTATATCTAAAGTTCTTTGTTTTTATTTTTTGATGTACGTGATTGTTTTTTCTTGTTTCCGAAAGATTCTACAAGAGACCACAAAAGACCACTCGTTTATTTTCCACTTTTGGTCTACAAAATAAATAAGATGTTGGTGTGGGTATTGTCTGAAATAGAAAAAACAAATTTCATATTATGATGAAGATATTTTTTTAGTTTGTGAAAAGAAGCTGTGTAAAAGATTACGTCTATTGAAATTCAAATTTAAAAGTAGCGGAAAATGTGTCAAGGGAAATTTGTAGAAAGTTAATTGTAAACTTACTCGGTGTCATAGAAGCGCAGTTTCTCAAAAAATATTAAAACTCGCAGCGATTGAGGGAGGCAGTTCTCGTTTCAAAAAACTTTTTCTCCATTTTGCTATTTTGCACTTTGTGAGTCTTCGCTTTGGCAGTGCTACTTTTAGTTTTTTTCTTATATCTTGTTGTTAAGATTAAACTATATTATCTCAAATATAGCAAATGTGAGTACTAGATTCTAGATATAAACCAAATTTAAATTATAAGCTAGGGCTAGACTATCTTTATCGCTTTCGGATCGCGTATATACAACATTTTATTCTGCACAGTTAATAAATTTAATCTGATTTTGGAAGAGAACAGTGTTGAATTTTTTAAGTAGCTTTGCCTAGAATTATATGTTTTTCTTAGAACGAAATAGGTCGAATAAAAAATGAGTTAGGTATCGTAAAATACCAATGGAAGAATATTGCCAACCGAGTAATATTTTACGTCGAAAAATTTACCGGGAAAAATATAAAGATATTTTATGGCTGCTACAAACAGACTACCAATACGTGTGGAATATTATTATGCTTATTACACAAATAACGTAAGTGGAATGATATTCTAAAATCGAACTATTAAAAGACCAAATAAGTAACATGTATGAAAAAAAATATTATAACATCATTATCATTTTCTCCGTAGATTAAAATATACATTTTTTAATACTGATCTTCAATTATTTTTATCAGCGACTCTTGACGATTTAACTTTTTGAGAGAACCTTTCGTTTCTATACAGGTTCTTCAATGAACTTTATATTTGTTATAGCCAGTTAGCTCTAATCAGGGATATAAAAATAAGTCGAGGCAAGCTTCGCTACCACACCCGCTGGGACATAAACTGGAATTATGTAGCACTGAGACTCTAATAGATACGGAGAAACAAAAAATATATTTGATTTTGATACCTCTCTGATGTTGTACTTTTCAAGATAAGAAGAATGTTGTTAAAGAATAATAAAGTAAGCATTGTTTCATTCAAGAGGTTTTATTTCTTTCTGGATACATTCGCGTAACAACTGCTTTTTGTTGGGATAAAAATGTATTATATTTGTTTGTTGTAGAGAGAGGTGCCGGGGGCATGAGGTCGGGGGAGGTGGGCGAGGGCTCGGAGCTGGCGGAGTTTGGCGCGCGCTGGCCGCCGCCCGGCGCGCACGGCTACGGCTGGCCGCGTCCCGCCACGCCGCAGCACCCGCCCGCGCACCACCTCGCTAGGCACTCGCGCTCGCACCAGGTACGACAATCCTCTACTCATTCTTTTCTATGTCTACGCACTCACGTCTAAGGTATTGTGTCGCCCATGGCGTTTAGCGACTACGGTCTACGCTTTTTGACTACGATCTACAATTCTCGCCTACGAAGTTACGTTGTCTACGAACACAAATTTTCTACGCACCGATTGGCCTACGCTAGATAAGTCATCTAACATTTAGAGTGTACAAGAGGTTTTTCCTTTTATTTTTCATTTTTATTTTTGTCATAAGTACTTGTTCCTTAATTAAAAGACACACTATTGACTCATTCTTCATATTGTTTCGTATTCAGAAAATACACTTATTTCAGTTCAGAAATTGGATAGAATGTAGCAATGCGACTGCTTAAAACCCCTTTGGGGGTATATAAGTTACAATCCTTTGGCAATGGTCAGTGGTTGCAGGACAACCGGCAGGCGAGCTACGAGGCGGAGGACGCGCGAGCGCGGGGGCGCGGAGGCGTCTACTACTCGCCGCCGGGCACCTCCTACACCATCGTGGAGCGACCAGCCTCCTCGCATGGCCACCACGCCCCCTACTCGCACCATCACTACCCCGGCAAGCTCTCCCGTGCGCCCTACCTGGGCTCCTCCACCATCGCAAACAGTGCAGGTAGGTACTCTCCACTAAAGAACACAGCAGACTTTGGACTGCAAAAACTTTGACTTGCTTCATAGGAAACTCATAAACTCCTAGGACAAGGCACTGCTAAGTATCTGATCGAATTGTAAATGTAATCCAGGATTTTTTTAAAAGGACGGAATAAAAGAAAGGCTCGAGTTTATTTCAAAGTGGTTTTTTTTATGTATATCCGGCAAATGTGTCCGTTGTTATCTTAAAAGTGTAATTCTGCACAGTCTAAATTATTATTATCATACAAGTCGATAAAATTGTTTACGTGCCATTATTTAAAAGACGGTTGCGTCGTAAACTGTGTTACCTTTATGCTAACTAAAGTCTAAATCGTTTACGTAAAGTTTCCTCGCCTCCGTCTCGCCAACAATCATTATCAGCAAGCAAATATTTGATATAACTTGCTGTTGGCAGCTTGGGTCGTACTTGTTTGTTTTGTGATAGAACGATGTTGGCTCATTAGCGATAGGTTTATGGATAACGTGCACCTTCAGTAATTGTAGATCAGTGAATACACATAGGTCAGTAAAACCAACGGTTAAACGATAGATGAATTATTTTTAAGCTAGAAAATATATAATTAGAATTATAATAAAATAAATTAATAGGACTAAAGTTTCAATAGTACATGGCTGATATAACTGTGTTTTGTTTTGGTGCTCGAAACAGTTTGGCACGTACCCTGACTTTTTATGTGCACCCATAAAAACTTTATCAGCGGGTACAAAATAGAGAACAGGATCGCGTTGTGTAACATGCACGTAACAATTGTACCGCACGAAGTCGAGAACAATTCCAACAGCGACAAAATGGTTCTTATCATAAAATATAATTCATAAAAATGGAACAAATAGGCTAATGAAAGTGTGATATATGATATACAGCTTAGATATGAGTCGCATAATGTGTGGTAAAAGGAAAATAAATAGAAATTGTTGCACTCGTGTCTCCTTTGTTTTGTAAAAAATAATAATTATAATACAATTTATGGGAAATAATTAATAAGTTAGACAAAAGTAGTGTAGGATTAAGAATTCAACGAATCAGAATGGGATTTCAGAAGATTTTCCTCCTGGTGGATATAGCGAAAAATGAATGAAGTGATGTTTAAATTGACCAAAAATTAAATGATATAATCTTTTGTACAGGTGCAACTAGCTTAAGGAACAGCACAAACCATTTAAGCGCAACAAATGGCAAGAAGCGGCCGATATCTCCGGAGCAGGTGCTACGGCTGTTCGGACAGGGCGGCGCGGCAGCTCTGGGCAAGGCGCTGCCGCCCTCGCATCCGCCCGCCCCGCCACTCGCGCCGCTACCAGCGCCGCTGCCAGCCCCGCTGCCTACCCGCCGGCACTCGCCCGCCAGCAGCCCCAGTAGCACAACACATCATGTGAGTTACCCTGTCTCGACATGTGCCTAGTGCCATAAGACCATCCGTAACCCTTAAAAAAAGCTAGAAACAAGCAAGTACTTAGGTTAATGACAACCACTAAAATGGACAAATATTGGCGTCAATCATAAAAGTGTAATTGCTATGTCAAACAGTTAAATGCAGAGAAGGAATCGGAGGAATGGTTGTAGCCAATCAATCGATCTTCTCACAGTGGCCAATATGAGCGACTTGAATTTTTAATACTGCTTTCTATGAAGCAATATTCCCGAGGGGTATGTCGCCAACGCGCTAAGTATTTGAGTAGCACGTGTCCCGCCCCGCCCCGTCCTATCCGGCCCCTTCCCGCTTCGCAGCTTCAGATGGAGTAGAGCCATTCATAGCACGTTTTCAATGTAATAAAAATTGAAATTCTTTAGATTCTTATTACGAATTATTATTCCATCTCCATTCAATATTTTATCAGCTCGAAATTGTATTTCATTAGGAAATGTATTGCAGTCGTATAGGTAATGTGAAAACTAACGGTAATAAGAAATTACTCCTTCAAGTTGCTATTTGTGCTCGGTAAGTCTTATTCTTACAATTAGTCATTTGTAAAAATTAAAAAGGATTATAAATAATTTTAAACATACATATTTCTTCACGATAAAACGTGAATGTTTTACATGAAAGCAATCAAAACATTCTGTCTAAAAATAGGTACGTGTGAATTGTAGTGCAAGTCCGGCGGGGCTGTTGCTCGGTAAATAATTCTAGGGTGAGCCGTCAGTCGATATCACTACTTTATTCATGACCGTTGCGGTAAGCGTTTACTGACGGACGCTAGACCAGCCCGCCCACATAACCGAACATTTTGCAAATTTTTATTGTCTTATAATTGTCTTAACTTACAAAATAATGATAATTATCTAAACACACCCTTGTATAACATGCCTGTTAGTTTACTCAATGTTTTACGATCGCATGTGAAAGTTTGATATAAAATGTCAGTCGTCGTTTGGTCACGGCACGGAAAACGCATATCATACGAATTAACTTATAAAAATTAAAACATTTTACGTTAATTTTACCATCGATTATGAATTAGTGTTAATTTTTACAGTGAATGCATTTGTGTGTCGGGCATTTAATTTTCTCAAAAAAAGCCAAAAAGATTCACCTACATATATTTCCCAAAGTGTCAGTGAAAGGAAATTTTACGACCTCCGGTTTTTTTCATTTCGAAACATCGCGTCGCCGCGTTTTTGTTGAAATCAATAAATTTACTTCGGTCGTAAAGAAAACCACACATAAAAGTTTTTATAATAAAATAAGCATGCTGTTTTGACTGCTACGTGCAGCGGTATGTGTTCACGTGTTGAATTGTGCGAAAAATTGTGTTCTGTTTTGGTGGCAAATTGGATTCCGATCCGAAAAATGAGGTTTGTTCTTTATAAAACTAAAAAAATATATATGCATTTTGATAAATTAAAACAGTTACATACACATATAATGCATAATCTACAACAAAGTCGTAAGTCTTTTTCTACGAAGTATGTAGCATTTGTCCTCGTTTCGCTTTGTTCAATGTCCCGTATATATGTGCAGACAAAGGCGTAGCTTCTATATCAGAAAGACATTACGTTTTGTTATGCGATATCAAGCTGAGACATTTTTTTTTTACTACTTACTAGTCAATGTCAGTAACATCATGCGTTTTACTTAAAAATATTACCTAACTTCTTAGAATATATAAATAAATAAACTTGTATAGCTGTGTTTTGGAAATAATAATACAGATATAAAGAACACAGTTTCCCATGTTTCCTCAGAAACTTTATTTACTTAAAAAACAATATATTGTCGATCTCGCAACCCTTGGTGTTATATAAATATACACAGGATCTATAAAGAACTTTATTCTTTTCTGACAAAAAAAAACTTTTGTTTCAAGAAGAAAGTTTATATTCATACAAATGGAGGATTAACATAAATACAAAAGTTTTGTACTTTCCTAGTTGCTTAGTATTGGGAAACAGGTCTTGTTTTTATGACAATTGTTACCCCGTGAAGTTATTTAAATAATCGTCAGGGAAAAAATCAACGTTAAAGAATTTCTTTGCAAGCGCGTTTCCATCAATGCGAATTGAAAACATTGTTTTGTATGCGACAAATTATAACATCCCGGTTTATAGTACTACAATGAAACTACGGAGTACAACTAAGTACGATACTTTATAACATTAATTGTCACACTGAGACGTGTAATGGGCTTAAGCAGACATAAGTGTAGTCCTAATGGTACGCCTTTAGTGCTAACTTAACGAATCTGTGTGGAGCAGTAAGATTTGACATTTGATTTGATTTATCAGGCGATATATCGAGGCGGGGAGCGGGAGCGGCCGTATTCGTCCGGGGGCGCGGCGCCGGCGCTGGCTGAGCCCGCCACGCGCACCGTCACCATGAGCCGGGACCCGGCAGACTCGCACGGCTTCGGCATTTGCGTTAAGGGCGGTAAGGAAGCAGGTCAGTTATTTAGCATTTCTGTTGCAAGCTGTTCACTGCGAAAGCATTATAAACGCTTCTTTTATGACCGCCAAAACCTGACATTTCTCTGATGGCGTAGGATCGTTTCATTCGACACGTGTTTGCTTGCTGCCTGTTACCCGACTTTATTTTTTATGCAACGGCCACTGCTTCGCAATGTGTTTTTTTGAAAAAAACATCAAGGTTATTACAGTTCGAAGAAATAAAACCATAATGTGATATCTAGTTTACGTGTGACTAGATGGTATACACAGGTTGCATTGAAAATTAACTCAACACAGTTAGTGTAGGGACGGAGACGACCTTTACTTACAAATTTAGAGTTTTGTATAAAATTAAAAACAATAATTTCTTTTTGAACGCTGTTTTTACAAATTGTTTTAATACATATCAGTAACAATTATATGTGAATTTACAATACAACAAAATTGTATTAAAATAAAAATGCTTATTTCGCGAGGCAGGCGAACAACGCGGAGGGCTATCGATTTTGCGCTCGAATGGGAGTTATATAAATAGAACGAGGAGTGATCAAACAAAGACATTTAATCAATGAATTGTGCTTCAACAAACATGATTAATTCATTCCCTCCGTGTATTTTCCATTTGATTTCTTATGACGGATTTGATGTTTCATTGCTTTCATTATGAGGATAAAATATAGGAGTTTTATAAAAGTCTTATATTTGTACAATATCTCTTAAACTATTTCGTTAATGAGATTTAGGGTTTAGTAAAGAATAAATAAATAACTGCTACTCCTCTACACATCTTAGATGAATTAAATAGGTATGGAATACTTCAAATACGTACTTTTTTCATAATGTTTAAATATGAATAATTTGTATTCCCTTCCTCTTCCATTATACTCTTTACTCACGTAAAGTAAATCGATTTGTTCAGGGGTGGGTGTGTACATATCCCGCGTGGAGGAAGGCTCGGTGGCGGAACGCGCGGGCCTGCGCCCCGGGGACTCCATCCTGCAGGTCAACGGCACGCCCTTCTCCGGCATCTCCCATGAGGATGCCCTCAAGGTAAGCACGTTTTATTTATAGAACAAATACTGTGGTATGGTAAGTTCTAATTTTTACGATGTTACTACTATAAATCCATGTTCTCTTTTCTTTTAAGGAAAGGATGGGAAAGGGAAGCAATTTGACGGAGGTAGGCACGTATAGTATTGTATTTCTGTGCGTCTGTGTGGATGTCTATAAATAGCGGTCGTTCTGCCATTACGGGGAATTTAGATGGCCGCTGTTATCAAACAAATAATCAGATAATCACAGAAAAGGTGATGGAGTATGCTACTAAAAAATGAGTAAATGATTAATACACTGAAAGTCGACTATAACTTACTATAAGTAAAAGCTAAATATGTATAACAGTAAATTCTGACATATTTGTCTAATGAATATTTATCATAATATGTTCAGAAATAATAAATCTTGTTGGGTTATTAAGCGAGGTAGTTCACATACGAGCTCCATTAAAATTGACAGACATACCGACAGCTTTTATTTCCGTTCGCTCGCGCATTTGCTGTAACAATGAATACGCCTTTCATACATGTTCAAATTATATGTTCAGATTTTTTTTTATTTTACTCTGTTATAAGAGTAGGAGTAAAGCAAAACAGTTTTCTAGCTTTTGATTTTCACCAATAGGGAAGCAGTTAGGTAAATTAATATGTATAGGAAAGCTTTTTATTCACGAATGATAGCAAGTGATTGCTGTAAATTGCACTTGTGCCACGGATTAAGACTCAAAACGTGTGTGGCTAAGAGTATGGTCTCCGCTATATGATTAATTTTACTTTTTTCTCTTTGGTTTACGTGTTCTATATATTTTTTCATATATATATTTTTACAAATTTCACATTTTTAGAAACATTATTGTCTTAAAACCTACATTTAAATACTCATGTTTTGTGAAACACGCTATACTCAAATTGAAGCTAATCATTTTAAAACTCTTGCATTACTTTCCAACTTATACAAACAAACCATTTAAATGTATCCCACAAAATTTACTTTGCCAAGAATAAAATAAAGTAATTTTACATTTGTTAAAATCCATTTCATTTTCCTCATTGTTACCAAAAAGGTTCTCTTGGTAAATTAAATTATCCATTCCGTTGCGTTGTTTGTTCAATAAAGTTATTGAAACTGAGCAAGTTGAATTATAAAGGCTATAAAAAGAACTGTTTAGTTCCCATTACATGTGTACTTTGAATATTTAAAACGATACAATGAAGTGATAATTAGATTATCGATTCTCTTTGGAGAGTAGCTGGCAATTAAGTAGTCTATTATAAAATTCGAAAAGTATTTTTTTTTTAAATCTAGTTACGGGTTCCAAATTGTTATATAAAATATATGTCACATTTTTTACTGTGTTATCGCATAAGGCAGAGCCTCGCCTACGGATGGGACGGAACTTTAAGATATATATAATATGTGACTATAATATGCCTGAAACGTTTTATATTTTCCACAAAAGCTGTTTTATTCTGAGATAATGATAATAAGGAGAATATGCACAATATTTTGCATATGTGTGGGTCCCAAAATAACGTAGTATACACATTTAAATTGTAAAATTGTTACCTCATAGGGTTCCTCAATATTTTTGAATGTCTTTTTTCTAAAATGATGTCAATTGAGTCTGCATTTAGTGAATTCGAAAATGATGTATATGCTTATATCGCCGATGAAGTTCACAGAAAAAGGTCGTGAATGTGTGAGACGTGTAGATACATAAATGTCAATAGGCGTCAAGCCTACACCTTGTCCTGATGACACTCCACATGCGGCATTCGGGTCAGGTCAAATTAAGCATGACATTGCAATTTCAATTTGTCTTATTGTATTTTGTACCTACTTCATTAGTTTCAAAATCAGGTCACAAGATTGCTAATTAGCAATAAAAATAGTCATTTGATGAGCCAATCTGTTTTGTAGAATCAAGGTTTCTACTTAAATTCCTAAATTACTACACAATATTCTTAATGATTTATAAGTAATCTTGAAACATAAGTATACAGTGCCATGTTTGTGATAGTAGAATTGATTTTTTTTAACAATAACTTTTAGGTACTTATTGATTGTTATATAGCCATATTTAAAGCAGAATAGTGATTCTAATGTAACGTGCCTAGTTTTCAAACTGTTTATTTCAATAAAAGGATGTATCATATGAATTGAAAAAGTTCTCTCGCATCGGATGAAATTCTCGCTGTCGTCCAGTTATACAACCCTTTGATAATGTGCTGGTGCCGACAATAGACTCGTATTCATTCTAACATTCACTGTACAGAATAGAGTTTGAATATGGAACTGAACGAATGAAATGACAAGCCGATTAGTATTGCTAGCAAACCATTGCAATTGTTTTCAATAGCGTACCATATAACTAATACATAACTAATACATAATAACTGCATGCTGCTTTATGCATACATAAATATTTTGTAAAAGTTAAGTTAACTTTACTTGCAAACTTAATTTTCGTTATAGCAAGAGTATTCATTGATCACAAATCAAACATTTGAGTACAGTTTTCCCTGTTTATAAGTTATCTTAACTTAAACCTTTGTAATAAAGTTCTCTCAACAACGTACAAGAGAGATGGTTCGCATGAGAAAATCAACATCAAGTTCCATTTCGAAACACTTTTATTTTCCCAATTCAAAGGAGCGACGCGAGAACGACATTTTCTATTTCCGTCCTCACTGTGACCTTTGCTCGGGCACAATCAAATTGTTCTGTACCAGGTAATCCAGAATTGCGAGCTTGAAATGCATTTTGTCTGACGTAAATATATTAAGTGGCAACATCAGGTGCTCGCTCACATTATTGTCGGTGTAATAGAGTTAATGCTTTGATAAGAACTTCCGTTTACTTTTTCGACTTGTTGGCGGGTTGTTGATGGTAAAATGATGGAGAGGTACATACTGCATACCTTGTTATAGGTAAAGAAAGCATTAGGTACCATTAGGTAAGAACTCGTTTATTAGTTTGTGACAGTCAATTAAGAGTGCAAGTTGTACTTACGTTTTCATATTAATAAAACATGCAGTGTTAATCAAAAGATTCAGTAATTTACATTATGTAATAGAGTCGGTGCGGCCGCGACATGAGTCGTGAATATTCAATAGCACCGGGAGAAGAGCTTTTATCATGCAAACATTTTATTAAGTAAAGTGAACTGCAATGACAAATTGACATGATAATAGCAAACAATATTTATACAACATGCAATCTCTTTTGTCATGGCAACGTTAATTAATTTTAAAATGCTTTCAAGTATGAGCTATACTACTACTATAATTTTGTTTAGGTATTGCTTTTGTTCTGTGTACATAGCAATATGTAGAATGTAGATGTTCAATTTATTTGATTGGAAAACATTCTTATACATCACTTATTTTGTCAATCGCGATCTTTACAATTCTCTTTCTACCATTGTTTTTATATACATTGATAGCTTTCTTTCTGTTAAAAAAGCAGATTTTAATATGCTTTTCTGGAAATCCACAATAAGGAATTATGTTGTGTAGATGCTGAAGTCGTGCCGTCAGCTGACGATGACGGTGCGTACGGCGGGTGCGCTGGTGGGCCGCGCCTCATGTTCCTGGATGGACCGCTACGGCCGGCCCGCCTCTCCGCCGCCGCAGCGCCCTTTGCGCTCCGCCAGCAAGGACCGCTCTATTCGCAGGGTATGTCTCTATATCCATTAAATAAAATCTTTACCGTCACTTTCAGTCAGTCTTTGTACATTTAATAAAGAAGTAAAAAATCATGTGCTTTAAGATATTTTTTAAGTTGTTGACTCCTTAAACGACTTTGTGTATCGTGAATTTTTTAACGTGGACTACATATGTTACCGTAAATATGTACTCGAGATTGTAGTAGCGTATTATATAGAAGTAAGCAATTGCTTATATACGCGTAAGTAAGCAGCAGTTGTGAATAGGATTACCTAGTTTGTATGACCCACATCTCTATGAGCTTAGCATTGGATTGTGCCGCACCGCGCGACAAACAAAACAATGTTATTATGTATTTATTTCAAGTTACATTTTAACAAAAACAGTACGATTTAACTAAGATTTATATTATTATATAATATTATAGTAATTATAATTAAATTGTTTTCTAAATTAAGTCTAAAAGCCACATCAAAACAAGCTAAGTAATAAATTCCAATTTATTGCAATAATTAGGAAGTCATCTTTCACAATTATTGGTAGCATAATAATAATTACAAGGCTCGTATTTCATGCCTCATAAACTCATGAATGCACAATTTGACCGCCCTAAAATGGGGGAAGTTAGAATGGCGTTAACACGATGGCATGCCAATCGTTGTCCATTGGCCGTTAAACGAGGAAGTTAGCGGTTGTAATCGCTGCCTCGTGTTGACCATCGATCGGATGACGTCAACAGGACGCTCCGACTTATTAAAGTTAATCTTTCAATTTATGACTCAAAAATAGCATATAAATTAAGGCTACTGCGTAAGGTATTTTGTCAGTATTTTTGTTTGGTAAATCAGGTGGACCTGTGCATAGAACCAGGCCAGTCGCTCGGGTTGATGATCAGGGGCGGCCTAGAGTACAATCTGGGCATCTATATCACGGGCGTCGACAAGGACTCCGTGGCTGACAGAGCAGGCCTCATGGTAACATTTTAACTCACTTTTAAGATGTTTGAAAATAAATCTTTCAATAATTAAATAGTAAATATGTATAAAAGATGAAAATATTTCATTTTAATTAAAGGAACATGAAGTTCAAATAATTGGTATCTTAATTCATAAGAAACTCCGAGTGCGCTAGTTATTGTAGATGGAATGTAATTTCTAGAAATTAATGTCTGTTCCTGTACAAGACGCGGAAACTTGAGGGAACGCCCCGAGTCATTTGGAAAGTTGAAATTACCTCCAAGTTTAACGTCGAGAGATTTCTTCCTAGTAATGAACAACACTAGAGGCTTACGTTCTAAAATATCCTTTTGATAAAATCTTCTTATATATAAAATTCTCGTGTCACAATTTTCGTTCCCATTCTCCTCCGAATCGGCTTGACCGATTTTCATGAAATTTTGTGAGAATATTGAGTAGGTCTGAGAATCGGCCAACATCTATTTTAAATCCCGCGCGGAAGGAGTCGCCCGCGACAGCTAGTATTACTATAAACTTTAAAATTAAAATAATATCTAGAACTTACTAAAAAGAACAGATAATAATCCATTTAACTAATGAGAAAGCAGACCGAGTTCGTCGTCGTTGTTCATTTTGCGCTAAGTGCAGGGTTTGTTTGTGTTGCGCCGGACTACTTATCATTCGGACCGTCTCGCCCCTTACCTGAATTTTCGCGTGTAAATTGTTGTTCATCTGACATATTATTATTTGTCAATTATAATTAACAACAAGACTCATTTTAGTGACCATATAGTACTATATTTTCGTATTATTCAACGAGAAGCAGTAACCAAGTATGAAATATGGAAGGAAGAAAAGTTGACTGAATAACAACAATGTGACTTTATCTGTTCTTATGCAGGTGGGGGATCAGATCCTGGAGGTGAACGGACAATCGTTCGTGGAAGTGACACACGATGAAGCTGTGGCGCAGCTTAAGTACCACAAACGCATGTCGCTGCTAGTGCGTGACGTCGGCAAAGTGCCGCATGCCTGCACCGCCTACGGGGAACGAGATGCCGCACCCAGGTTCTACAGTATATATTTTTAAACTAAGAAAGGAGAACAGCTTACTTGTATCCTAATTTACTTGCAACGTATAATATTCGAATAATCAAGACATATAGATGAACCCTAGCCTTAGTGTTGGCAAATTAAAAGTTTAAAAATAAAGTAGGTACATGGAAAAATATGTAAATTGCACTCGTGACATCCCGCATCATTACAATCCGTAACATTATCACCAATCAAGAAAACTCTTTAATAGTATTAACAACGTTTTACTCCAAGGGAAAGTTATTGTAACAATAACAATGTAATGTTATACCAGAATAAGTGGTTGGGGCAAGCGTCGTGGTGCAGCAGCGGTGGCGGTGGAACAGAAGGCGCGTTCACTGCTGCCGGCCAGCGACCTGCCTGCGCTCGCCTACTACATGGAGGAGTACGCAGCGCGCCGTCTCACGCCAGACGCCTTCCTCACCGTGTTGCGCGACTTGCTCGACACGCCGCAGAAGGTAAAACCATTTTTAAATTAGGAGCTGCCGATGCTGCTACGACACACTGTAAAATATGTTATTCATGCTAGACTTGTTCTAAATACACCTTATCTTTATGTTACGATGTCTTAAAATTTTAATAAGTAACAATGTAAAAATCCCTAAGGAGTTAAAAAATTATTGTATAAATATAATACGCAATCTCCATATGAATAAAAAAAATTCTCATCAGCGATACATTGAATGTAATCTGTAAGGTTTGTCTGAAAAAACCCTTGTTTACGATGAATGTGAGCCGCGCCGCGTTGCTTACGACATAATAAATCTCATCGACTCCTGAAGCCTTTTACGTTTCTTTTTATCACAATCATCAAGACGTTACAATAAAATAAATTATCTAACCTTTTTATTAATTACTGCAAACATAAACATTTTGTGTAGAATGCATTCATAAAAAATAAGTTAAACATTTTATCGTGTGCCAATAAGGACTATGTTCAAATTAAAAAAAATATATAGTTTACTGATTGTTCACCGTATACATATGATGCAAAGATCTTCATATCGCATCTTTAGCTTCTTTTTTCAACCTACTATTTTTTGTATATAAAATTTTAAATATATTTTGTCAGTACACTCTACTGACTGAGATCCGGGAGTTCCTGGTGCCGGAGGACCGGCCGAGGTTCGACGAGCTCGTCTACAGGCGCGGTGATGAAGTCACTGAACATCATATAAAGGTATTAAATTAATCATTATATCACGTAAAACCCGTGTTTGATTTACAAGCGTACTCTGTCCGATGTGCCAAATCAAACGCTGCCGGCTATACCACAGAAGACTGAAATAAAAAAGTACATTGTTGTACGAAATTGGCAACAATTGCAAATATAACAAGAATATATTATGATTCAATTAGTTAAATTTTTCTAAGTTTTATTATGAATCATATAGTATTGTAAATATTAAAGAATAAATCCAAGTATAAAATGTTAAGCTTTTGAGAAAGGCTCTCATAATACATATATTTCATTCATTAAGTCATAAATGTATAGTACACACAACAGTAGATTACCTCTCTAGTAAGAAAAACTCACACGGTTCATAAAACTGAGATCCAGGCGCCTCACAACTCGCAATCCGCTTCCAACCGAATGCACTAATTACAATTTTTCGCTCCGTTACGTACGCTCCTGTCTGGAGAAACTTGTTAGTTCACTCAATATTTCCGAATTAACGAACTAAAGTTATTATGATGTTGGGACTTTAATCAATCGTAACAACTTTCGAACTATTTATTCCAAAGTTTTGTTTCGAGTAATATTCTCGTAATGTGCTTTTGTTCATCTTTATTTACATTTTTTATCCTTTACACTATACTTACTAGGTATATTTATGTTTTCTTTAACGTTTGTGTAAAATAGATAATATTTTTGAGCGGTGAAAATTTGTCACGTTTTAGAATTCCATCAACATAGCTTACGCAGTGCAGTTATTTGTAATTTCAATTGGTCTTTACGTTTATTGGTTGTACAAAGTATTTACATTTAACCAAGTACAGTCAGCGTCATATAGATCGTCACAGACAAGATATGCAAATATATAGGTACACCAAAAGTAATCAATTATATCGGTACAATAAAAGTCCTCAAAATAATAGATACATTCACCCTGCTCAAATACATCGGTACATACACAGCGTCAAATATATGAGTACATGCAAGATGCTCATAAATATCGTAGCAGCCACAGCGTCATAAGTAACGAAGCAGTCAAGGTGCGCAAAAATATCGGTACATTTGACAAAATTGAACTCTATCTCTACATACTTGTGATACAATTTGGAATAAACTCCTTCTGTTACATTCATTTGACACTTTGTATTAACATTATAGGTTGTCCGGAAAGTTCGTTCTGATTTTCGATATAAAGCTTACAATATACTGCAGCTGAAGTGGATTCATTTTCGGATTTCCACCATTATCAAACGTCACAAAAATTTCTATATTGTGAATAATTTCATTTCATTGGTTGAGATAAAAACTAATTTTTAAAATTTTAGCCAAAAATAAAAGACGTTTTAGGTATAGAGTCGTACCAATATAATTTAAAACCATTTCCAAAAATTTAAGAGGACAGGGTTTCAATTTTCCTTATAAAGCGGCACGAACTTACTGGGCAACCCAATATTTTTCTTCTCCTGTCATAACGCTTAAATATATTATAAAAGTTTGTCACGCCGAATATGACAGATACGTAATAACTAATATCAAATTTTGCCTTGTCACAATATATACTAGTTTGGCGCAGTATTCTAGTATGTTTGCCGTAATATGTAAGTTTACCGGTTCGAATCTCAGGCTACTTTTTTTCATTTTATCAATCACGTGGTTATTTTTTCATAACTAGTAAAAATTTGGTAATGTAAAATTTTGCTCGACAATTTTTTTTTTATAATTTTCGCTGTCGGGTAGAAAGAAATTTAAATAAAGTTAACAACAATTAAGTCAGACCATCGTGGTTGAAGTGAGTGGGCGGAGCGTGGATTGTCTTTGCGGGTTTTAAGAATGGTACGCGCGGAAACTATACGTACAAGTGTTATCTACATATGTTTGCGCGCCCACGCACACTGGAATGTTTATTGCAATCGACCAAAAATTTGATGTAGTTTGGATATTGACATTCAGTTTTTTTTCTTTGTTTCTTAAATATAATCAGTATCAGTAAAAGGTAAAAGTAAAAGTGTTATTTTTACCGGTACAAGTTTAACAAACATGAGTAATAAACAAATTACATGTCAATAGCATCACTTTATCTCCTTCATTTTTGTTTGAAATAGAAAAGTACTTTAACGTTCAAACTCATTAGTCCAAGGCAATATCAAAAAGTACCTAATAACTACGGCGATAGAGTTTAATTACATGTGCTTCGATATTAAAATTAAAAAGTTTAAATATCAAATAAAAAATAGTTGCTTGGGATTTGAACCGCCGAACTTACGTACCAACGGCGGCGAACGGTAAGGCCACGAGACCAAACTAGCATATATGATGACAAACTTAAATTTGATGTTGGTTTTATCTACCTAATATCTGTCATCCGCGTCGAACACTTTTAGTAAATTTTGAAAAATGGTTTGATGCAAAGTGTCAAATGAATGTAACAGAAGTAGTTTATTCCAAATTGTATCACAAGTATATAGAGATAGAGTTCAATTTTGTCAAATGTACCGATATTTTTGCGCACCTTGACTGCTTCGTTACTTATGACGCTGTGGCTGCTACGATATTTATGAGCATCTTGCATGTACTCATATATTTGACGCTGTGTATGTACCGATGTATTTGAGCAGGGTGAATGTATCTATTATTTTGAGGACTTTTGTTGTACCGATATAATTGATTACTTTTGATGTACCTATATATTTGCATATCTTGTCTGTTACGATCTATTTGACGCTGACTGTACAGTTCCTTTCAAGCCACAAGTCTTTCTAATTTCATTGTGGTCAATTAAGATTGTGATACCTATACATTATCATTTACTAACTCATATCAAAATCCATTTTCATAACCAATCACAAAGAAATAATAGTGTCCAAGTGCACTGAAGGACCACGTTTCTCTTAGCGCGGCGGTGAGCGTCACATGCTGTCCTCCTCCACAATGCACGAACTTCACGACCCGGTGAGTCAAATGCACGTCCGTACTAATGTCATGCATGTTCCACCTTATTCCTCGCTGTTCGTTATTGTGCGCTTGCAGTGTATTCTATGTGTTCAGTGTTGCCAATGCTTTATATTGTGTATTTTTGTTATAAAATATTTTACGGATTATTTTTGGAATCGTTTTTGTAAAAATTTAATACTTTTGGCATACGAAATTGATAGCTAATTATGACATCAAAATTTGTTTTATATTATTAGGGATATTATAAAATATTTTATATCTTGAGAACTTTATACGAAATGGTGAAAGTAAAAAGTTTTCAAGACTTCCATGTGTCGAGTCCAGTGCGAAGAGATAAATAAGAAATGCAGTATCTGTAAGGTCGGGTGAGTAGAGAGGTATTGTTTGTAGGAGGGGCCGGCGGAGGCACCGCTGGTCGTGGACCACCGCTCCCCCTCTGAGGACTCCGGTCTGGGCCTCCCACCACACGACCACGCATACAGGTGACACACTATTTAAACTAACTACTAAAATTTTCATTAAAACATACATAATTATGTTTTTTTATAAAAAAAAAGAAAGTTGAACACTAATTATGTAATTAGGTAGTCGCATTCGTGGAGGCGGAAGCATTTTTCTCTTGGGGCTCTGATGAGCGCAGCGTAAATACTTCGCTTGATGACTCTTACGAAGCGCTAAGTGTAAAAGTACCCTGTAAGTGTGAAACCAAAGGGTGAGATGTTCGCGCTTTCGTCTTTGTACGCTATTTTACATTTTGCAGGGAAAATAATCTTAGGTTTTAGCAACTCCTTTCGTTCTCTTGCGAGAATTTTATTGGCGTATTGCCAACAATCTAACTTTTATTCAGCGTCGGACTCGATTGTTTTATTGCTGCGTAAACGTTTGAATCCACCATGATCGCCAGTTTACGACACTATCCAGCATCCGTAAGGGTTCTTTTAACTTAACTGCCAGTAAAAGCGATTCCCAATCGACAATTAAAAACAACCAAGTTTCAGCCATATGAAACAGGAGATGTATTCTCAAGTCATCGTGTAGTAAACCTGAATTAGTAATGGTATTTAATAATATAAATCTTAAAGCAACTATTACATCTATTATAGAAAGAAAGGAGAAAATGTTTTTGTGTCACAAAAAATATAAACTCTTAATATCTGAACTGAAAATTTACCCCGTTTTTAAAATAACTGATACTAAAGCTAAAAACTAAAGGAAAAGAAATAAAAGCACTTATCTTAATGATGTCAATGCACTATGACAACAACTTCGTCTAGAAATACACATTGTGTTATCATAACAGTGAATCGTCATTACACTTACGTTAGTACTTTAAATGATAAAGGTGATGACGTTCACAAAGTTGTTGAGACAGTGTCTGAGTGATGGTGACTGTCGTGTTATGTGGGGCAGGAGCGGGCGGCCGTGGCGGGCCGACGCGCCGCCGCATGAGGACGACCTCGACGCACCACATGAGGTGATTTTGCCAGACTTACCTTACACTCGATCTCCTTACCCTTCTCCAAAACTCACTCTCGACTCTGTACGCCTCTTCTCTGTGCTCTGGGTGTCACTCGAAAATTATTCGCACTTCTTTTAGACCTCTATTAGTCATTTAGTTTGTAGATTATTAGATAGCTATTAACAGAATCATTATATGTATATTTAGAATAAATGTTACGAATTTGTTTAAGGAATACTTGTATTAGTCGTAGTCTTTAGTTCTTACTCTTTTCTTGTCAGCGAACAAACCTGAGCTGGCAGACAGAGTGGCACCTCGGCACTACCACTTGTTCTGTGTAACTCACGTTCCTTGCATGTTCTATGACGGCTAGAGAGTAGTTCACAAGTTACACGAATATGGCCGTTATTTCCTATGTATCATTGTTATAAAGTAGAAAGGGTGAAGCTGGCAAAATTAAATCAAATTAAGTCTCGTATAATGGACAGAGGAAGGATAATTGGCTCATGAAACGGCAATAGCGGCCAATAAACTTTTTTTGATTGCTTCAATTTCGATTTTAATATTGTTTTCGATTTAAGATATAAACAATTCTTAAAATTCGTGAATTACATTGGAAATAGGATATACCCTTTTCCCAACATTTCTACTTTTGCGATCTTAAAATTGTGTACATATAAAGCACATCGAGTATGAAATGTTTATAAAATAGTTTGTTTAATGACGTTGCGTAGGTGTTGATAAAAGCCGTGAAGAACAACATTGCACCGAGGCGCCAATTTAGGACGATAATTCTGTCGAAGCTTGCATCGGCTCGTTGGTCTAGGGGTATGATTCTCGCTTCGGGTGCGAGAGGTCCCGGGTTCAAATCCCGGACGAGCCCATGTCTGTTTTTTTAACAATTATACATTTTGCGTTATATCTTTTTTGTGCTTTCGTTAAATATCATTTTCTTAAAACATATTTAGAAAATTTAATAAATATTTATGAAGGAAAGCGTAACGGTTACAATTATAATAAAAAACTTTTTGCAATTTTTTTTTTCGCCAGTGTATTTTTCTTTGTTTAAAACAATTCAGCGTTGTTGTATAATAAATGACCGAAAATAAATTTTACAGCGTTTTCCTAGAGAAAATATCAAGTTAAGAATGTCACACATTATAGAACTGTCATCTGGGCGCCCCTTTATTAATAGTTAAGAACGTAGCAGTTTAGATCGAGAAATCGCATTTACGAAAGAGAACAAAGTGATAAATGGTGCAAATTTATATTGAAACAATTTGTGCTACACCAGAACCTTTCGTAGAGACGCTACGCGATATAAGATAATTTGTTTCAACGTAGATATTTTAAATGCACATTAAGACATAATATTGTTTATATGATAAGTCAGGATTAAATATTAATAGTAGTAAACTTATTATTTATCCAGTTGTGTTTAATTTTAAATACTTATTATAAAGCACAGTATACACACGCCAAAATGGAGTATGAGAAATTAATTTAGGTTAAAGCGGCCAACGCCCCATCTCTATGTACTAACGTAACGCAGAAACTAATTTCTGATCATTGAGGTTTGCCCCAGCATGTGGCCTTGAATAACTACTCAATTAATATTCTTATTAATACTCCTAGAGCTCAGTGATAGGAAACAATGTCTATACAATTAATAAAATTAGTGGATCTACTTTCTAGAAATGAAAATTTATTTCTTTTTAATTTTTCTCTGTCTGTGCGCAAATCCGCATTTATTTCGAGTAATCTCTGAAACGGCTGGATCGATTTTGACGGGACTTTTTCTGGAAGCTTATGTACGCGGGAGTAACTTACGTTTATTTATATTTCAATCTACGTTGAGGAAGTCGCCTGCCACAACTACAATAAATTAGTTAGTCTGTAAGAAACTTTGAGGAAAATATTTTGTTATCTTTGTTTCTACGCGTTACAGTTTTCCTTATTACGTTGTATAAGTTAGTTGAACTCACCAGGGCGCACAAGCCTCCTCTAGTTAAGAGGTGCCTGAGAACAACCACTGTGCTTCCCTATCCCATGGGTGCTAAAAATGAATACGAAATTTTTCACACTGAATTACTGAAAAGCTTTTAGGACATTTTTGAGGTGTGAGAAACTTCATAGTTAAGTAGTAACTAATAAAAACGGGGTTGCGATTCTAATTGTATCACAAAATAACAATGATAATTCAAATTATATTAATTAGAATTTAAATTTCTTAGTATATTTAACTAGCTGTCGCCCGGGACTCCGTCCGAGCGGAATTTAAAAAAACTATTGGTCGCAGCGTAATTTTATATAGTCTAAAGCCTTCCTCTATAAATGGACTATCCAACAAAAAAGAATTTTAAAACGCACTAGTAGTTCCTGAGATCCAAACAAACAAACAAACTCTTCCGCTTAATAATATTAGTATAGATTGAAAATATATGTGACAAGAGTGCGTAAATTTGAATGTTATTTTAACTAAAGAAGTGTACTTAGTAAGTTTTTTATTTGTCGAGTTTATTAGGTCAATGAAATACTATTATTCAATTTTCTAACAGAGTCGGCCTTGTAGTCATTTTGTTAAATCATACAGATTAGTTCTGGTCCCTTACTTAAAGGGTAAACTTTCGAGAATCACCCTTCTTAACTACAACTTAATTTAGCCTTAAGTACAAAGGACGTGTCCCAAGGGATTTCAATTTAATTATAATATTACTAAAGAGCATATTACATTACTTGTTTAGGATTAAATCAATAATTATATCAGGTAATTAATAGCTTATTTTATCGTATTAAAGTCGGTTATGTTTCAGTATAACAGTCATAATAGTTTTGCTAGCTGAAGTAACTTATTACTTTTTAAAATCGAAATGTTGTACATAAAATCCCAGATCATTTATTAAGTTCAGTTTTTGTGATGTAAAATGTGACCAAAACCGATTTCGTGAGAGTTTGAAAGTTCTAATTTTTCGAAGAAATTCTAAAAAAATAAAAACTCTTAACCTTAAAAATTTTCTTTGTACAACCTTTGACATATCTGGTGAAGGAATATTTAATATACATGTTAAGCTTCAAGTTTCTGATATTAGGAGATAAAACAAGCCGATGTATTTTCATAGTACATTCTAAAAGCATTGTTGGGCGGAACTTTGTTAGGCAGAACTTTGCTTGGCGGGTGCGTGCTTGATGGAACTTTGAGCAGTACTCGGTAAAGTTTCATTGCCAGTATTTTGCTTAGCCATAGCTTAGTTCGCGGCAAGTCGCGGCGTGTGACGCACGTATGTTCGTTATGTCGCGTCGTCGCCGTCGTGTCGCTTTTTGCGACTACATGCCAATGGACGTTCGCGCCATGGCCAAGGTATCGTTATTTAATTTTTAAAATCATATAAAAAGTGAGCTTAATTTTTAATTTTGTTAAATTAAGTCACATACGTAAGATAAAGTTTTGACAATTTCTTTTAAAGTTTCATTGAAATCATTTATTTTGCTTCAAAGTTAGGGCTGTATTAAAACATTTTGCTATTATTGTTACTAAAAATTTAGGTGTGTAAAAGTTTATCTATACTTGTAGTATTTTACGATGCTGCTTCCAATCGAACAAATTTTATGTCAACACAGAAAGAGTTACATACATACATACGTAAGTATTTTATGAGAAAATCAATATAAAATAAAATTTCGAATAATACAAATGATATCGAAACGTTTCTACCGTGTTTAGAACATTTGCTCTGTCGAAATATAATAGCAATTAATTAATTGTGCGCGTTGTGTTTGAAATAGCTTGCAGGTGTTTTCCCGACAGTGTAATTTTAAACCATATATTTGTTACGTTACATTTACTTTGTTAAGAAATTGGTATGATATGTAGTGTTCTAAGTTATATAAAACAACTAAAATACAATCAGGTACTTTTTTTTTCTAATTTATTGCAAAAGTACTTGAATGTTTTTGGCGTTTTTATTTCTGTCTTATATAACTACAATATCTTACAACTTGCACTGAAAATGACTTGGAAAAAAACGCATATGATGAAACTTCTGAAATGTTCTCAAAGAATCTTGACACGATTTCTGTTCTGCAGCTTGTTAATTTTGTTTCAAAATTCCAACACAGTTCTAAACAGTTTTCCATCGGCATAAGTGTGTATTTGAAGTCAATGTTTACATGAATCAATATTCGGTAAAGGTATAGGAAAAAAAACAAGAAACATGTTGAAGTTTCTGAAACCTAACCTAACCTAAACCTAACCTAATATAATTAACTAAGTTTTGATTTTCCAAAATTTTTGATCCCTTACTATAACAGCAAACATATGCTTTAGAGTTTATTGCCACTGTAGCCACTTCTCTAATTAAATTAAAAGCTTTGTACAAATTAAGTGTTGCCACGCGAAAAAAATATAGGTGGGTAGAGGGGTGGAGGACGAAACTGTAGTATTTTGTATGAATTACAAAAGTTATCGTGTGTATGGCAGTATTTTTTAAAGATGAGTATATATAATTCATATTAGTTAACACAATTCTAGGTTTTATTAAACTTTTTTATTCTTAATTTAGTATTTTGTTCTATGTCAAATATGTTTTATATCTACAACTTCATACGATTATCGTGTGAAATATGAAACGTTGAAATCTAACCTACTAGCAATCCATATATAGCAATTTTTACTTCATCGTCATGACTAGTCAACTAAAAACCTCGAAACGAGGTTGAGGTTCCTTGTAATAATTATAAACACTTTTTATTTTCAATACCAATCGCGTGACTTAAAGTTAATGAACATTAAGTAAAAATAAAAAATAATAATTTTTAACAAGTTCACCATTTGCACGAACTAGAATTTCTAGAAATTATAACACGCAAGAGAAATACTACAAGCAGGTGTTTGCAGTGGCCTAACCAGCCAAGTCTTTGTCTTGACTTTTTTTAATAATAATTCCTCCCCTATGCCGCCCCTATTGGCATATCATTTGTATTTATAAAAATTGAAGTTTATTCAAAGGCCGATGCAGCTAATAAAGTAGGTACTGGATACAAAAAGAAAAGTAAATATAAAAGTAAAACTTAGTAATAATTATCTGAAGAAGAATTTCGAAGATATATCTACGAATGCTATTGCAATTTTTCCGTTTGGATTTCGTTGTTTATATTGTTATTTTATATAAAATATAACAAACTTACAGAGAACTACATCTGTTTTACCATGGCGAATGAAAGATATAAAAATATGATTTTATTCAAGTACTGCGACAACCAAAAACCACAGTTACTGTAAGCATTAGTATATCACATCTTTATAACCTAAAACGTGCTAAATACAAAAATAGTTCGGTAAATCAATGATGCCTCAGATACGGGAGTGTCGCCTCGCAGTCTCTTCACGATCTCTGCTTGTGTTGCTTCCTTACAACTATCGTCATATAACGATAATAATAAGGCTGGATTCTTCCCGTGTTTGTTACTCGTCAGGAATACGTAATACAAGGTGCTAAAGTACGTGACACGTCGTTTCTATTCCTGTTTTGCTTTAAATTTTAATTTTCCTGCCTATTGAATGACGCCTGCATGATTCGGTGTTGTGTGCTGCATTATAACGCTGTTTATTGTGCTTTGTAGACTAGATCCGTAAGTAAACGTATGATAAAGTAACAAATTGTCTTAAAATAAAATATTAATTGGTTTTTCTTTTACGATATTTCTTTGCCTATTTTTATAGATGCGTCAATTAACGAATCTACTAACTTTTGTATTAATTACAATGTCTGTTACAGCTTCAATTTGGATAGTTATTAAAGTTGATTTATTCGAATGAACTATGAGTAATATATTTTTGCACCGTCTTTTTCCAGTTAATCGATTTTAATTGATGCATTTATTCATAACTAATTCGTAATTATCTACCTTAATATACATAAATAAGTATTTTTGTCTTTTTTTTATTAAATGTCATATTGTTATAAGAATGTTAATTATTTTTAAATTTCGTATAGGAATACGAAGAGGAGGGACGTCGGTCGCGGCGGCACTCGTCACCGTGCAACTCCAGAGAGGGCAGCACTACCGCCTTGCACACACAACACTACGATGACACGGTGAGTACATCATTATCTTAATATTTATAGAATACTAGCTGTCGCCGGTGACTCCGTCCGCGCGGGATTAAAAATAGATATTGGCCGATTCTCAGATCTACTCAATATGCTCACAAAATTTCATGAGAATCGGTCAAGCCGTTTCTAGGGAAGTATGGGAACGAAAATTGTGACACGAGAATTTTATATATAACGTTAACGTTAATATTTAACATAGTATCACTATAGTATATAGAAGGTAGGTGACAGCGGGATTTGGTTGGTCATTGATTTATGAAGAATAACTAACTTGTGGGCCTAAATTTATATCTCACGATTGATTACAAACAAACACTGACATACTATAAATGTGGACCGAATACTGATTGTTTCTGCGAAAAGAAAAGATTGCAAATTCTACAAGGATTCCAAAATATTTTAGTAATTAATAACAAGCTTTTGAGACAACAACTTGAGAAGTAAACTATCTACGAACATGTTTCCAAGACTGAGCACATTAATTTTCAGATTCACTTAAGTAAATGTATGTATAAGCCAATTGCATCTGTCACCGCTTGGAGCATGACAAATTTAAGACTGTTTACATTACCGAAACACTTGGAACAAAAACGTATTGGCATCCTTCTCTTTTTCCATGAAAAAGTGAGATAACAATATGTTTTATACGGTTGTGTTGGTCAGTGGAAACATATTATTTCGTGACGTGAGAGCCGTTGACAGTGAGGTACAAAAGTGGTAAGGTATACATGTTTCAAAAGATGCAGGAACTTTTCTCATATCGCCGTACTTTGGCATGTGGCCAACATTTTTATACAATAGTCTGTCCGTTTTGTCGTCGCAGCTTCCCCAAGAACATATAAATCAGATAACGTCAGTTGAATTTTATTAAGTAGTTCTTTTATATTTACTCCATCCATTTTATAACTAAAAACAAGTTTGAACATCGTTTTAAAATTCCATTAAAAATTAAAAAAATGAAATCGAATGAATTCTATATTTTCTATGATTTATAAAACTATTATGAATATAATGATTGATTCGAATTACTTACTTATTAATAGTATTTGATTGAAAAAAAATCAAAATAAATTAGCTTAAAATTTATTTGCAATCTTACAGAGATTCAAAATATCTTATCCTAAATTATTGTCAGTCACAGAAATTATTCTAAATGTGTATTAGTAATATAACTATATTAATACTGTACATGAAGTAACTACGAACTAAAGTAGTTGTCAAAGTCAGGAGTGTTAAACATTTTTGTAGGTAAAGTTTTACATATTTTCTTTATAATCAAAATTCAGTTTTATATAATATTTAATGTTTTAAATAAAACAACTTCAAGTTAGTAATATCCTCCAACATAGTAAAAAAACGGCCTTAATCGTTTCAAGTTACAGAACAGTCTGTTACTTATATTACGGGTTGTGCATGATTACTTGGAAAAATCTTGTCAGAACTTGGAGAGGTTAAGTAATACATGTCAGTTAAGTAAATTACATTAGTGTTACTTAGTTTATGCTTTAATTTAAAAACTAAACTACAGGTTTGTAAATATTAATCGATAAAATTGATTCTAAAATAAGAGGTAAACCCTCTAATTGCTGAACAAGCCTAATTAGTTTTGTTATTTCGCATCCAATAAATGGCTAATAGGACTTGGCAACGCAGGCAACTATTGCTAAAGCAGTGTACCGCATGTACTATAATATGTCGAGAAATGGACTGATAGGCTTACAATGATTATCGATGATGATGATAACGTTGATGATGATGATGAAGATGATGTTGATGGTGGTGGTGATGATGATGATGGTGATAATGACAATGATCGTAAAATATGTCTCATCATCATGTCTCGTTGAAAATTATATGTGTCATGTTGTATCCATCTTATTTAAATCTAAATATATTATTTCTATTATATCATAGTTTTTCCTGGAGCGCTCTTCGTAGTTCCTCGGTGGCTTTCGTCAAGTCTTTGTTAGCATGCCGCGGCTTGCCACTGAGGTCGTTACAGTCATCTAAATAGTCTTTTGGAGGTTCCGCAGGATATTTGCTGGCGAACTTCGGTCTCGGAATCTTCACGCGTTTGACGTCTTCCAACCAACTTTCCATTGTTTTATGATAGCGGTACTTCTTTCAAACGTACGAGTACCTGTAAATAATAAAAGTTAATTTAATTTACTGCCTAAAAATTACTTAATTTAAATAATAATAACACTGAATGTAATATGGAGGAAAAGTTTTTCATTTGTTTTATTTACAAGTCGTACTAAAACTCTTCAGTTTAGGCACTATGCCAAAACTGATTGTTATCACTTGAACATAAATTTTTACCCATTTATATGGTCACTATGAAACAATTCTATTAAAACAAAACAATAACATCATTTATTTAAGACATAACTCACAAAGGATTGAGCAACCAAACGAACAATGTAAGGTTAAGAAAATGTTCACAAAGTTGTTAGAAAATTTGAAACGCGCATTTAACGCTGTCGTCGTACAATGCCTATGAGTGCCAATGACAAACCACAGTCGCAGAAAAACACGTTCGATTGTCTCACAATACGACAAACGGTGTCAGCAATTCTCTATCTGTGACATTAATTAATTATCTTTGACATTAACGCAATCGTAGACTGGTCGATTGCACATCAAGATGCCGTATGCCTCATACGGGCGATCGTTACAATATCCGTAATTAATTCTTTCATGTCAAAAATACACCGCTGCTTTAACTTCAAACATATGGCCTCCTGGTGATGGGACATCGAAAAAGATCCAAGGAAACTTTGTATGAAGAAAATTATGTTAGTTCTATTTAACAATAAGTTGTCGTATTTTAATTGGACTCGGAAGTTATTATACAATCCTTATAGAGCCATAAATAAATGCTAAAATAGCATCAAAACTTTCTCCGAGGAAAGTGTAACTAAATGTTATACCATTAGTTCCATTAACACTTTCCAATTTTGCCAATCGGATTATTTCTGATGTTAAAATATTCTCACATCCACACGGTCTTTAATATATGAAAGATTTTATTTTTTCATATGAGAGTAAGGTCATGGAAGATGTTTATTATAATCCCGTATATTCCGAAAACACTATAGATCTTTTTAACACCAACATGTAAATCACATTTGAATTATTATTATTATTTAAATTAAAAGATCATTAAAAATTCTTGGAAACTTGTTTTTGCAAAATACGATTTCAGATTCTCATTCCAATATCGATGGGTTGTGAATGTGAATGAAGAAAACAAGCTTTAGATTTCATTGCATTTAAATATATGTTTTTGTCCATTTAACATGCATAGAATCTAAACTATAACGTATTCAATGTTACCGTATAAGTAAGATATACTAAGGGATCAACCCAAGAGATAAAATTTTGCAAAAAATAAAATTTGGAAAATTTGCGTACAGCTTTGGAAAAAGTTTACACCGCGGTTACATAATGATTTGCTTATATTATGAGAATTGTATAATTTAGAATCGATATAGATTCACAGTCAAAACAAATATGCTAAAAAGTGGTTAATAATCACATTTTTAGAACATGTAAAAGTGAACGGTATAAATAAATCGATCGTATCTTTATTCGGCCGCCAAATAAAAAAAAAATTGTACCAAATCAAATAAAATAACCTTCGTAATCCATTAACAATACATTCATCTAAAGGAAATATAAACAATAAAAAAGTAATAAATAATAATGATGACTAATCAGGTCGATATAATTTTTAAACAACCAATCTACCACTCATTTTCGCAATATTATTTATTTTGTTCTTTCTCAATTCGTTCTTTCAAAATGCCAAATCATCGAATCATACATCTGTTTCTTCATATACATAGTACACGATACGATCTATAAATGTCAACAAATTAGATTTGTTTATCCACAACGCGTTTATTTTCATAACGGTTACGTATTCAGATTGCAGTTTCTAAGATTCCTCTCATAACAAACTGATTGTAATTTATAGATGTTTGTATAATACGTCTACTTAGATATGAGCTTAAGTAATATATTTTGCTTTTCGCTTTAATTAAGGTCTTTAAGCATCCATTTCATTTCCTTTCAATTATTCAAATGGCATTCGATTCGTATTCTTTTGTGTTACAGAGCTAAAGTTAACTTTTATTTAGTAAGAATTAGTAAAACGATGTAATAAAAATAATATAACCGCATTAATGTTTTAATGTAAAGCAACTCGTAGCCCGGACAAATAGAAAGTGCTGAACAAGGGCCATTGTCTCCGCACAAAGACAGCCGTTCTATTCGATGTAAATATACTTGTTTATGTTATGAATGTTAGAACAGGAACTGTTCATTGCATCACACGAATGTGGCTGTTTATGATCTTGTGAGACGGGAAATGTTTACGATATGTTATTGAATGTTATATAAATTGTCGACACAATTAGTGCTTGTCAAACATGAATTCGTTTAGTTACGTTAAGTATTTTTACGTAAAAATTTATTGTACTAATGATAAAAATACAACGGTACATTTCCATGTTATTTTTATGGCGTTAAATATTGATGTGGATAATAAAAAGTTCATTCTAATAAGATATATTATGATAAAATTAAGGTATCATAATATACTTTTTAAATATTGAAATATTGATTATTACGAAAACCTTGTAAGCTACCGGAAGAAAAAAAGGACATGAGTCAACGGCGACTCACAAAACACAAACGAACGAAGGCAGCACCAAAGTTGCACAAATAAACTTGCCTTACTTTTTATATCTTGCCCATGCCATAAAGAGAAAGTGTGGGCTTTGTTGTAACGCAATTTTTGTTTCAATGTTGTTCGGATTGGAATAACAAAAGACATATACCTAGGTTACCTAATTAGAATACAAGTTGAACATTTTATACTAATATTGTAAATGTGAAAGTTTAGATGGACGGATGTTTGTTATTAGGTATCGGCAAACGGGCTTCACGGATATCGGTGAAATTTGGCTCAGACG